GTTTCCGTCCATAAAATTTTTCAATATTAAAATATTCATCAGATTGTTGTTTCAGTTAGAAAATAGTGCCCATATAAAGAATTGCATCAAATTTCAAGTATGTACCGTTAGCCATATTAAAATATCATGCGCGCAAGGTGGAAACATGGCGAAATATTTTACCACAAAGAGGATTAAATTACAAAAATATTTGTGGCAACACAAACTTTCTGGTTACTAGTTTCTAAAGCAGTTATATTATGTAGTAAGCTGTAAAAGGTTGAAAGTAATTGCTTTTAAAATAAATAAAATATCTCAATTCTTGCAACAGTTACATATTCGAAGATCATGAGGGGTTTAAGGTGTATGAGTCCCCTTAAATGTGAAATGCATACTCTTTACTCGCAATGCACTCAATCAGTAGAACTGCACCAAGACAATGCAAGCAGCCACATCTCAAAATCCACTGTTAATTTCATGAAAAAAAAAAATAGAATAAGAAACGGGTATGAAGGCCACACTTCACTCATACCTCTATAAGGCATTTCTCCCACTTCCCTAGCGTGCCTACGTGGTGTAACGGTAGCACGCTGGGCTGGTATTCCAGAGGTCCGTGGTTCGATTCCCGGCGAAGGCGGTTGCATATTTCTCATCTTTTCTGCTTCCAATTAACCTAATGACTGTACAAGTGGCGCCCGAACTAAAAGGGTTGTGGATGATAATTCTCCGCACGCAGGATTTGGCAACTAGGTCCCCTAAAACCTTAGTCGTCCTTTAAAAAGGGGAGTATATAAGGTGTTTCTTCGACCTCCCTAGCGTGCCTTCGTAGTGTAACGGTAGCACGCTGGGCCGGTATTCCAGAGATCCGTGGCTCGATTCCCGGCGAAGGCGGTTGCATATTTTTCATCTTTTCTGCTTCCAATTAACCTAATGACTCTACACACCTTCTAAGTCTCCTGGTTATCATCTATGGATCTCTGCACTTTTGGACTTTCGTCCAAACGTCGACCTATGACCCTCCTAGGACTTTGAAAAGTTGTTAAAGGGGAATGGGATAAAGTACCTCTTTCGATACTACAAAATGTTTTGTTGTCTTGAACATCACGGTGTAGAAAGTTAGTGAAGAACAAGAGTTATCAACCAGAACATTTAATTTCCAAAATTTAGGTAAAATATTTCTGTAAATACAATGAAACGCGTCTAAGAAATGTGAGAATAGGCTTTGCGGCATAAGAAAGCATAAGAAAAGACTAAGCTCCTTATAAAATGCATCTTTAAGATATGTAGTAATATCTAATACAAAAAAAATTAAAATAAAAAACCTAAAATTGCATCTAAAATTCATCTCATATTCAGTTCGGAATAAACCACATGCAAAAACCAGGAAACAGGAGAACAGTGGCAAACTACAAAAACTAAGCGTGAAGGGGGGCACAATATGGCAAAACCAAAAATGCTATTCACATCTTTCACTGCATCGTCATCAAAGGGCAGGTGAAAAGAAAAAAAAAAAAAAAAGAAAAAAAAAAAAAAAAAGAAATAATTATGGCAGCCTGTTTCTGAACCGACAAAGACACATTTGATTTAATTTTAAAAGTTAAAACTTAAAAATAATCGTGGAAAAATAATCAAAGTTGTCTGTGTCTATCATTGCGACCCCTAAAGGCCAAAGTTAACAGTGCCAAAAATGCAATTGCATCGAAACCATACAGAAATTTAAAAACAAATTGCTTAATAACAGACATATTTAAGTACAGAAACAAAAACTTGCAAAAAACAATAATCCAAAACTTGAAGAAACAAAACCATATGCAAATTTTGTAATCCAAAATTGGAAATAACAAAAATATATGCAAATTTTGAGAATGTAAAACGCGGATTAAAAAGTAGCATAAATCATAAAAAAGTGAAAAAATTAAAAATCTAATAAAAAGTTTTCAATATGAGTGGACCGAGTCCATATACATGTAAACCATGTATTTTGTGTGCTGCGTTAACCATGAGGCCAATTATTATCGGTCAGGAGGGTTGCAGCATACTCATAAACTAAACTAAACTAAACATTAATTCAGAAGTCAAACAACAAAAATCAGCGTTATATTTTCAAAATTTTCACAGGACTAGTTTCGATGGTTTTACCGAACCACCATCCTCAGCAGCAAAACCGTAAATGAACAAGATAGGAAATAATGATTAGATAAGATAAGAAAGCCTGGACAAGAATAAGCAAGTGGCGTCATCTGTTGGTGAAAAAAGAACTAAAACATAATTTCTTTAAAGGCCGAAGGCAAAGATGGATTGGAATTAGGATCGTTAACTAGAACAGAAATATTTTTTTGAATGTGAAATGCCTCTAGAAAATCCAGTTCTGCAATGGAAGATGTTTTTTAAATAATTTTGGCAACAGAAAAATTGAAAGTGTGATTTTCGGACCAACAATGTAGTATTTATTCGGCGTGTTATTGTTCTTAATTAAACTAAACGTGTAAACTATGAGAATATATTAGGATAAAATGGATCTACAAAAAACTATAAAATAAAAAGAGGAATAAGTTCTTAATATATATACAAAAAAAAAAAAAAAAAAAAAAAAAAAAAAAAGCAGTAAAAGTTTTGAAATGAAAATATATTTGTACGACTATTCAGAAGCAAAGCCTAAAATGTGTTAAATAATGAATAAATAAATAAACTACAAATTTCAAACTAATTAAACTCAGATTTTAACATATAAAACATAAAAAATATAGAAATGAATAAACAACGCTACCAACGGCCATCAAATTTTGGAATAACATAGCCCTCCACCCAAATTTGAGCACCTGGAATTCCAAATTTGGAAATTTTTTATTTTCTATTTCATATTTTGTAAACCGTTAACGAATTCTTGATTAAAAATCTCAAAAATTTCAAAGCAAGCAGTGGCAACACTGTTAAGAATAAAACATCTTTATCTCCAGCACGCGAGATTGTGTATCCAAAATTCTAAAGCTATGCTATTTTTAAATATTTGTGATACTGCTAATGAATTAAATTTTATGTTTCAAGTGCCAAGAACATGAAAATTAATAAATAAAGGTAACACACAAAACATTAAAAGAAAGCACGTTTGGGCGTAGTATAAAATCTGAAAGTTTTCAGATTTTTTATTAGTTTATTATTTTATTCGTTTATTTCTCAGTAAATGAATTTAAGATTTACCTTAGTTACAAACTATCTCTACACTATAATGTATTCCACTGTAATTTACATTGCGGTGGGAAAAAAATCTATTCTAAAGCAAAAAACACATTATTTTTCATTCTTAAATTTCATCCTTGCATGAGAGAGAAAAAAATCTGAGCTCTTTATCCTCAATTTCACTTCAGAATTGAACTTAAAATGTAATTCATAATAAACTAAAAACATTTAAATATTGCTTCTCAAAAATATAAAATTTATAACAGGAGTTAAAGTGAGAAAAGATACAAAAATTTTAGGATGTTATATTAATAAATTTTATTACCAGTGTTGTAAAGCAGACTAAATTTTTTTCACTAAAATAATAATAAAAAAACTCAGTGGCGTAACAGCCCTAATGGGCCAAGGCCTGCAGTGTCCGAAATCTACTTTCTTGACCGTGGGCCCCGGGGTGCTTAAGCATGTGCCCTGAACAAGTGGTCAGCTTGGTCCCAGGAAAATAATAATAGAAAAGTGTAGTAGGAAGAATTATGTAATCTTTCAAAAAAATAAAATAAATAAACACTACTTAAACGATACGTTCATAAATATTATAAAAATATAACTATAGGTTAAAGGATAAAAACATCCATTACCCTAACTAATAGTAAAATCTGGAAAGCTTAACTCTATAGTAATTTCTATTATGAAAGAAATATATAATGTTGGCTAATCTTTAGAATATGTATGTTAACAGGTAATTTGGCGACATTTTGGTAAGGCGATAAAGGTTACTAGCTAGGACTTTAGCAATAATCTGAGAAGTACACAGTTCGAATCACAGATTATTTTGTCTCAGAGAGATTATGAGATATGTTATGTGGCATTATCCGGAAAATTCCGATCGTGATTTTAGCTAATAAGCACTTAGAAACAATTTCGCTGCTAAAGTGCAAAATCGTCCACTTATTTGTTTGACGCTTTTTACAAGAGTAAGAACTGGATTTTTGTCAATTTTCTATGACGTTTTAAGTGAAAATAGGTCGATGTGTGCATAGATAAAGTCAAGAGTGTGCGCAATGCCATTTTTTTGCAATTAGGAGATGCTTTTTTTTAAGTGAAAACAGGTCGACGTGTACATGGATACCGTGTATGTGCAATTCTTAAAAACGCGGCAAGCAGTTTGCGATTCTGCACTTTCTCCCAATTTCGCACCTAATCTTTGTCATGATTAAGCATTTCTGTTCCATAAAAGTTCCAGTATAAGCGTAATTCGGCTAGCATATTGTTTGAAAAAAATGTTGAGTAAAAAAAAAAAAAAACATACCTTTACTTCGTGAAAACAAAATGGCATCCAAAACAAAACTAGCAGGTTGCTGTAGTAGGGTTGGTCGCCAAATTTTCGCCCAAAAATCGCCAAGTTACCATAATGTAAAGATTCACCGTAATGTTCTCTTCGACAAATACTTATAGCAACTACGATAAATGAAATATTCAAATTCAGCCAAAAACTGCGAGACATTTAACCATGTATTTCAAATTCCTTGATTATAAAATTAGAACTTTTAATTTTGAGGAAAAGTTCGACGATTGCATTTAGTAATAAAATTATGAAGGGATTTTTAACGGATTATTAGAATCCAAAATAAGACAAATAAAGAGAACAAAAATGAGGAAAATAATGCAAAGATCTGAAGCTAAAGAACTTACATACAAACTGCGAAACCGATTTTGAAATGTTGAGCCATTTTTAATGTTTAATTATCAATTATAAGTCTATCTAAGCGTTTGTAAAATTTATAATAACATGAATTAGGGAAGAAATAAAAGTAGGAATTACGAAAGCTCTTTTATGGCTAGCCTACCTTTTACATGAGAGTGGTCCTTATCTCAGGTCGGCTCATTCTTTGTCATCCGACGAGTTTCCTGCCTTGTTGACTCCTATAAAGGCCATTGGCTTTTTCCATGGAGGGGTCATGATAGACAAATTCATGATCTGTTAAAAAAGGTTCATTTCAGTGCCTCATGATTGAAAACTATTTAGATGATTACAATAAATTGTGTCTCCTTCTACTCAAATGGCAATTATGATATATAGATAAGGCTCAGTTATCAAATGTAAATTTTAATAAAATTTTATTTGGGAAAAACACCAGGTGGCCATAAAATAACTTGCATGATAATCCTCCCCCCCCAAAAAAAAATTCAAAAAATATGAATAAAACTCGAAATGTAAAGAGCGAAAAATACGCATTCGGGAATGATTGTGTGTGTGTGTGTGTGTGTGTGATTATAGCAAAGCCTCGAGGGCTATCTGCCTAAGGGGAGGGATGCCTTCGTGGAGGACTTTCTAAGGGAAACTGACTCGTATACACGTTACACATGGGGAAAACCACGAAAACGCCCATGCAGGCAGCCCGTTCGCGGGATTCGAACCTCGGACCGAACTACCAGTGTTCAGCGACTTTACCGCTCGGCCGCTGCGGGAATGATGTGAATAACAACAATCGAATTCTCTCAGGATATGTTACAGCTAGCAAACTTGAAAAAAATTTGCAATAAAAACATCATTTCTTCGGATCGTAACGGGACGGGCTGGCAGATTGAAAAACAATAAATGGCGGTGGAAAGTTACTTAAAAATGATTGGCAAAAGGCAGCTGGAAAGAAGAGTCGAAGATAAAACAGAAGATGAAAGAAAAGAAAATGCACAATTGGTATGAAAAGTGTGTGTGTGTGTGTGTGTGATTATGGCAAAGCCTCGAGGGCTATCTGCCTAAGGGGAGGAATGCCTTCGTGGAGGACTTTCTAAGGGAACCTGGCTCGTATACACGTTACACATGGGGAAAACCACGAAAACGCCCATGTAGCCAGCCCGTTCGCGGGATTCGAAACTCGGACCGAACTACCAGTGTTCAGCGACTTTACCGCTCGGCCGCTGGTGGGCCCAATTGGTATGAATGCGCGTAATTAGTATCATAGCACTGAGACTACACGTACGTTGCAGGAACTCTCAGGCACCCGTGACATAAGTCAAATGATTAGTACCTATCATGATATGTTATTTACGCGGCATTTAGGTGTCACAGGGTCTCGTATGCAGCAAAAGATATTTTATGGCGACCTCGCTTAATAAAAATTTAATGCAGTACAGTTTCTATTAAATATAGTGTTTAACTGTATTGCCTCTGCGAAAGCCTACATAATATAAACATATATGTCTGAAAAATGGTTTACTTAGGGCAAGTAGAATAGTGCATAAGATTATGAAGATGATTAACAACAATAAAGAAGCCATTGGCATTGTGTGATTCGTGTATTTGTATAGTTGTGTGGTGATTTTTGTACTGGCGTAGCCCGTATAGGGTCATAGGGCAAACTTTGTTTTGCAAGGTGGACCGGGCTGCGCCCTATCAAAACAAAACAGAGTAATCAAACATGTCTAACATAATTCTAGAAGAAAGCTCAATCAAAAATACGTTGTAAAAAGAATTTCGTAATCCTATAAGTGATTAGCCAATAAGAAATCAAGAAATTGAATTCCTTACGGGATTGTGTTAATAAGCAATTTGTAATAACAACATAGTCAAAGAGACAAAAATTTTAATGTCAGTAAACAGCAAAACAGCGCAACAAATGGCAGTAGAGTATGGAAGCTTTTTAGCAGCGAGAAAAATATGACTATGGTTAATTGTTTCGTAAATTTATAACCCATAACCAGTATCAACCAGACATTGATATTGTAGCGCAATGTTTCGCGCAAAAGTATTTGTTTAATATCATATGGTTAATTCAGAAGTCAAGCAACAAAAATCAGCGTTATATTTCCAAAATTTTCACAGGACTAGTTTCGATGGTTTTACCGAACCACCATCCTCAGCTGCAAACCCCAAAATGAGCAATATTTGATTTATATTGGTCAAACTAAGACAGCCTTAAAATTTCGCGTCAAGGAACATGAGGCATATGTTAGAAAAAAGGAAACACAGAAATCTTCTGTTGCTCAACATTGTTGGTCCGAAAATCACACTTTCAATTTTTCTGCTGCCAAAATTTTTCAAAAAAACATCTTCCATTGGAAAACTGGATTTTCTAGGCATTTCACATTCAAAGAAATCTTTCTGTTCTAGTTAACGATCCTAATTCCAATCCATCTTTGTCTTCGGCCTTTAAATAAATTATGTTTTAGTTCTGGTTTTCACCAACAGATGGCGCCACTTGCTTATTCTTGTCCAGGCTTTCTTATCTTATCTAATCATCATTTCCTAAGTACATTTTGAAAATATAACGCTGATTTTTGTTGTTTGACTTCTGAATTAGTATTTGTTCGGCGTGTTATTGTGTCTTAATCATATGTTTGTTTATAACAGTATGTATTGTGTCGATAACTTTAAAATAATATTCCGATATAAATTCTAGATGAAAGTTTCAATTTATTGTACTCATTTGTAATTGCATCTTGTAATTGACATCTTGTAATTGCTACTATTTATAATCCAGTACGGTAGAAGTTTGTTTTTCTGGTCCCTATACCCAACGAAATTTGTGGATATTGCTAGAATAACTGAAATAGTTATTAATAAAAAGTTATTGTTTGTAAAATTTCTCATTTCTGCATTTTAGAAACATTAGTAAACGAATCAACGCAGAATTTTGCATATTCATAAGCAAAGATGTTAGTCTGTCAAATATCTCAAGTTTTCGTGGGAAGTTCGAAACTATGCAGATTCTAGTTCATTGATGTTCATTAAAAGAAGAGCAGCGCTGAAAAAAACAAAAGATATCGAAATAATATTTGTTTATAAATTTAATGTGTGAAATATAACTGAAATCATTTCAGTTACATTTCGATAAAACTAAATAAATTACTAAAATTTAAAACTAAATTAAAAAAATTAGACTAAAATTTCTATTTTTAACTATGGACTATACAGTTAATCCGGTATGGGTATAGTTGCATATTGTCCTGAATAGTCCATCGATTGGTTTATTTGATTCTGGCCGTACAATACAGTACATTGCCCATACAGTAGATAGCATTAATCACATTATACAATTCATTGCAATAAACATATAATACAGTGCTTTAACGATGCTTTCGATATATTAGTCTTGCAAAACACTACATGAACTATGCATTGCAAATTAGTAAAACGACAGTTGCCTGTAACCGTTAAGGGGGCTCATACACCTTAAACCCCTTATGATCTTCGAATATGTGACTGTTTCAAGAATTGGGATATTTTATGTATTTTAAAAGCAATTACTTCCAACCTTTTACAGCTGACTACATAATATAACTAGCTTTGGGAACTAGTAACCAGAAAGTTTGTGTTGCCACAAATATTTTTGTAAATTAATCCGCTTTGTGGCAAAAGTTTTCGTCATATTAACACCTTGCGCGCATGATATTTTAAAAATGGGTAATGGTACGTACTTGAAAGTTGATGGAATTCTTTATATGGGCACTATCTTCTAACTGAACCAAAAATATGATGAATATTTTAATATTAAAAATTTTTATGCACAAAAACATTACAGATTTTTTAAATAAAATCCATTTTTTAAACTCATCTTCAAATAAAATAAAAATTTAACATGGAATTCTTAGAATTTTTGGTTCACAGTAGTTTCCAAGTGATATAAAATATACATGTTAAATATGGAATAAAATTATGCAAAAGAATGTTTTAAACTATGCGCGCAAGCTGGCAATATGACGAAAAATTTTGTCACAAACTGGAATAAATTATAAAAATATTTGTGGCAACACAAACTTTCTGATTACTATTTCAGAAAGCAGCTGTATTACGTAGTCAGCCGTAAAAAGTTGGAAGTAATTGCTTTTAAAATAAATAAGTAATCCCAATTTTTGCAACAGTTACATATTTAAAGATCTTATGGGTTTTAAGATGTATGAGTCCCCTTAAACCATGATAATTATGAATCCGCTGTAAAAATTTCACCAAGATCTGAAATACATTTCTGGCCACAAAATTTCTGGCCGTTAGTAAGGATACATCCGACTGACTCGAGATTTATTTAATATGTAGACAACGCAAGAAAAATCACGGAATCTTACAGCATCTGCAGGAAGATGTATAAAAGAGAAGAACAGAGTGTTATTGTTAAGCATTTAGCGTACAGATGGCTGAATTTATGTCTTGATAAGACGTGTGACACCATTTTACTAAGACATAAATGACATAAGTTAGAAAGGTAATGATTTTAACAGTACTGAAGGCGTGTATTCTGAAAAAAACATAGTGCTGATGTTGAAGGGAAAAAGGATAGAATAATGTGGTATCAGTTAGTCAAGGGAAAACGAGTACAACAGCATGAAGGCACTCGATGGTCCTCTCACACCAGTGATTTTCCTCACGTCGGCAAGAGATTAAAAACTTTTACGATTTACTATTAGTGACCATAAACGCGCATTCTAAACATTAAATTAATAATTATGGATGTTGCAGAGTCGTCACTCATCCGCAATGTTGTCCGTTGCTTCGACTAACTTGAGCGCCCTTTGCTTCGACGAATTTGAGCAGTGTCCCATGGGCCACTGCAGTTAAAATTGTATTAGAATATTAAGAAAGGAGCGGACAAGTTCCCTAACACAAACCCTAGTGATGAATCTGCTTTATTACTGACCTAAGATTGTAATACATTAACCATGCAATACAACTCACGATGCTAAGCGCTCTTGAATGCCATCAGCTATCAACTTCTTGGTTTGGGATATGAGCTCTCCGTGAGCCATTGGCATAGTTGAGTGCACATTGTGACATTATTGAGGTAATCTTTGCCTGTCACGTTTTTGTTTCCGACAGTAATATTTGTCCAAGTAGGCTAGCAGTAGACACCTTATATTTATTCTTTGACCTTAACGATGACTGAATCCTGTGCAACATCTCTAATCTTTGAGATACGCTTGCATGTATGGTTCTCAAAAGGCATGGGTAAACTCGCTGGAAGAAATACAGAGTTTTTAATCTCT